CGAGATTGTCTTTTTAATGTTTGGCCAGACAAAGGTTTGATCAGGTTGATCGTTTTGACTCTATATGAATGGAGGCTCACTTTAAAGTCTAATATCACTTAGTAAGACTTGATCAATAATTATAGAGCTCTGCTGCGAAAGATGTAGAAAAAGATCCTAAGCCTAAAATTTGAAATAAAAATTCAGCGCAATAGATTAAAATTAAAAGAGTTGATATGGAAAATCAAAAATTTAAATTCAAAATTGAATATTGAAGATATAAGATGAATTTTATTTATCAAAGAAAAAGATAAAAAAAAATAATTGAAAAAGAAATTACCTAAGGCAAGGAAATCAGGGTCTGCGTCAAAACACGCAATCCTGGATGATTTTATGCATCTAAAATATTTCTAAAATTAAAGATTAATAATAAAATTGTGTAAAAAATATTAAAATTATAATTTAAAAAAACCACTAAATATAAAAAAATATAATTTCAGGGGAAACGTGTTTTTTTTCCTCCTAGATTGCTGTCTTTAAAAAAGTGAAGAAATCTTCAAATATTTTTGTTTAATTTCCCAATTTAGAATAATAATAATAACAAATTTTTAACAACAAAAAACTGCTTCCTTACTCACTCTGGAATCGATAAAGAAGTTTTAACTCCTGTACCATTTCTCCAACGATACCTAACAGAATACTATTTTCACATTGAAAAAAGTATCTTAAAGAACCTTCATTTAGTATTAACAAATTTGCTTTTTAAAGGCTTTGAAAATCCGAAAATGAATGAAATATTCATGGTTTAACTTTAAAAATTGATTATTTTTAATTGTAGTTTTTCAGATAGAAGTGAGTTATGAACCAGGCATTCCCCTTTTTAAACTTCTTTTTTTTATGATTTGAAACGCCAATTAAATTTCAATTTTTCTTAAATAAAAATTGAATAATTTGTGAAAATAATATGTTCCTGAGTTTAACAGTGTACTGTAGAACCCTGGCCCAGTAACAAGATGGTTCCAAGCTTTCAAATCCAGGCTCAGGAGACTCAGGAACTCTTAAAAGAGACTGTTGACAAATTTTCAAGAGGCTTTTCATTTAAAGACCGGGGGCTAACCCGATTTCTGACGGTACCGTTTAATTTTTATCTGATCAAAAATGTTGAAGACTATTAAATTCACACAATTTCCATTTTTCCTATTTTGCATAAATCTGAAGTCACTAATATAGAGAAAAACAACTGAAAGTTATAAATTTTTAAATAGACAATAAAGAATATCTCATTCATACTTATTCAGACACAGGTTTAAAGGGTACCGTTGTGAATCAGAAATGACCAACTTTCAATGGAGAGTCACGTGAAATAACGTGTACAGTCCCTTTATGTTTAATCGAAAAGTACTGAGTCAGGTAAGTAGTTGAACTAAGTATGGCTAGTTGTGCCACTTCTCTTTTGCACCTTTAGTCATAAAAATGGTTTAACTTACCCTGCTTAGTGTTCAACTACTTCTTAAACTTTAGATGAGTTTGTTATATTTTCCATGATACTAGATCCTCATGGTAGTCACTATCCTAGTTTACTACTTGGATACTTGAGGACTGTTCAGGAATCCTCTGGTAGTCACTATCCTAGTTCACTACCTGGATGCTTGAGTTCTGTTCAGGAATCCTCTGGTAGTCACTATCCTAGTTCACTACCTGGATACTAGAGGACTGTTCAGGAATCCTCTGGTAGTCACTACCCTATTATACTACCTGGATACTAGAGGACTGTTCAGGAATCCTCTGGTAGTCACTATCCTAGTTCACTACCTGGATACTAGATGACTGTTCAGGAATCCTCTGGTAGTCACTACCCTATTATACTACCTGGATACTAGAGGACTGTTCAGGAATCCTCTGGTAGTCACTATCCTAGTTCACTACCTGGATACTAGATGACTGTTCAGGAATCCTCTGGTGGTCACTATCCTAGTTCACTACCTGGATACTAGAGGACTGTTCCGGAATCCCCTGGAAATCACTATTCTGAGCCATACAGGGTTGAGGTTTAATGCTTTTCTCCAACCTTTACTCACGCAGCAGAGAGAACAAATATCCCTGAACAGTACAGTACAGTACGCTCAAGTAAAGTACAGTACTGTGCACTGAAGTAAAGTACAGTACAGTACACTGAAGTAAAGTACAATACAGTGCAGTACAGTACAGTGCAGTGTACTAAAGTAAAGTACAGTACAGTATACTGAAGCAAAGTACAGTACAGTACAGTATACTAAAGTAAAATACAGTACAGTATACTAAAGTTAAGTACAGTACATTACTCTAAAGTAAAGTACAGATAGTATACTGAAGTAAAGTACAGAACAGTATACTAAAGTAAAGTACAGGACAGTGCACTGAATTAAAGTACAGTACAGTACATTGAAGTAAAGTACAGATAGTATACTGAAGTAAAGTATAGTACAGGAAAAGTTTCCTTTCTCTCTGATTATACTGAAGTAAAGTACAATATACTGAAGTAAAGTACAATAAATCTAAGTAGAGTACTGTGCAGTTTACCTAAATAAAGTCAAGCTTAGTATGCGCTGAAGTACATCACAGTTCATTTTAGTACATTATACGACAATACAAAGAAGGTTCAATACAAGTAAAGTACATAAAAGGTTCATTAAAGTATGCTGAAGTACAGTGCAGTATAATTGATTAAAGTACAGTTCACTGATGTATAGAACAGTTCAGTACACTACACTAAAGGAAAGTAAAAGCAATGAAGTACAACAAAATACAGCAGTTTACAAAGGTGCTAGTGCTACAAAAGAAAAGTACAGTAAATTAAAATAAAAAGTACAGTGCATTGAAGTACAGTACCGTTAACAATAGAACCGTAGAGTATAGTACAACAAAGTACAGAACGGTAAGGCACAGTACATGAAAGTACATTACAGTACAGCAAAGTACAATTAATTGCAGTGCAGTAAAAAAAGTACTGTAAAGTACAGCAGTAGCACAGTTAAGTTTACATACAGTATAGTAAAGTAATGCACAGTAAAGTAAAACATAGTTAAGTAAATTACAGAAAGGTATGATATGCAGTTAGTGCACTAAGGTAAATCAAGACACCTTAAAGTGCATTACAACAAAAAAAGTAAAACATGCAGGCTGTTATGCAAGCAAACTAGATCTAATAGCTGATTTTATACGGTGGTAGCCGATTATATCAATAAAATGAAGACGACTTTCGATTTTAATTCTAATTTGTATAAAGCTTTTAAACAGCATGGCCATACACAAAAATATGGAAACAGAGAGAAGCTGTCAATTAAAAAAAGCTTCTCTTTCTTTGCTTGTATAAACTTATAATTCGAAAAAAGCTTGTTACAAATTAAAATTTAAATAAAAAAGTCGTCTTCATTATATTACTATAATCGCCTACAACCGTACTCTTACGAAGTTGATGGTAGTTTAGCAAATTACAAAACATTTTCCAAACCATACGTTTAAATATAATATGAAAAAATTAATGCAAACGAAACGGTAAATTTTATGCGAGATCATCCAGTTCAACTTTGTGACCTCGTAGCTTCCCTTAGCTTTGATTTTAAGCACAAGCACAAGAAAGCTAATTTATTCGATTGCTGCACACTAGAAATTTAAAAACAATTTTCTTCTTCTCAATAAATCTTCAATTAACGAAGTTATGAATCAATAATTTAAATATTTTGTGCCATTTACTTTAGCTTGACTTGAAATGTTAAATTATTTTGTAAAATTTTACATACGGTGGTAGGCGATTAAATCAATACAATGAAGACGACTTTTGATTTCATTTTTGATTTTTAACAAGCTTTTAAGCAGCATACAGATACACAAAAAATGGAAACTAAGAGAAGATGTAAATTAAAAAAGCTTCTTTGTAATTACTTGTATACTTGTAATTCGAATAAAGCTTGTTAACAATTAAAATTTAAATAAATGATGGTAGTTTAGCAAATTACAAAACATTTTCCAAACCATACGTTTAAACAAGGAGATATTGAATAGAGGAGGGGGCGATAGGGTTTCCGTACACTTTGCTGTGACGTTTTTGGACTGGTGAAGAACTAGTTTTTGCGTAACAATAACAAAGGCAGCCGATCTTGCAAACAAACATGAGTTAGTAAACTGTGAATGTACTGTAGTATTAAATCTTGTTAATAAGATTGAAAAAGTTAAGGATTTTAATTTTATACGAAAAGGATCTTTATTACAGAGATATTTTCAATCAAATTCAAGGTTATCCTCCCCCCCCCCCTAGATGTCTGTTTATTATTTGTGTTATTGTTTACAATCTTTATCATTGTTGTTACGCAAAAACTTATTTCAATTTTCAAAATAATTTATTTACCTTTCATGAAGATAAAGGCAGAGCTCTTCAACTGTATACTGGTTATTGCTCCAACGTGTAAAGGAATCCATGATAGCTCACTTCTCATTTGTTTAATAGTCTTTTCTTCTTTATATAGTTTGTCACCGTGCTTTATATTCATTGACTAATGCGGCGAATACATTTTTTTAGTTTAACAAATACATATATATAAAAGATATATTAAAAAAGTCTCTCTAAGGCGCGCGCCATATTGTGAATATTAGGACTATTTAAACTTTTCAATCTCGGATGTTTAATCTGTGACTTTATCCGGTCATCAAGTGTATACCTTCAAAATCAGCTGATATTTGAAATCATCAGCTGACTTTTATTTACAACGCTACACATACTTAAGTTATAGTTTAATCTGCGGATAAACAAATTTTTACAGTGGGACTCATAAAACTGTGGAATAGGAATAATGAATTAAAAATAGTCCTATGAACATGAAATACCGAAATATTTCTGTACACAGAATTATACGAAATAAGTTGATTTTAAAGCCATTGGTAAAACATACACAGAAGATTGCTCTAATGTCGTCTTCCTATCTGTCGAGGTCTTACTGTATGAAAATAATAATTCCGAACTTGATATGGTTTCAATGGAAAGTTACCTGTAGATTGCAATCTATAAGTTCTCCTGTTAATCTCATATTCTGAAGTTCTCTAGTAGCAACTAGGCTATGGGAGGTATTCTCAAATACTTTAAACTCATCATGTTCTTCCTCCACATCGTTGATGACAGGATTATCACTCATTTTTAGTTCTTCCTCACACAGATTCACTCCATTCACTCAAAGCTTGCATGTATGAAGCCGCTTGAGAAAGTTTAAACTGCTTGAAAATGAGAAAGCTGTTAATATACTATGTGAGTTTAAATGGGGAATCTAAATTTGATTTTTGCATTTTTATGACTGAGTGTATTGGGTGTAAGGGGAAACTTAAATTTGCATCTCTTTCACATGGATCCAGACTGCTGAAAAACTATAAACACCCTTATACTTTTTGTAGCCCTTGACGTATACATTTTAGAACTATAAAGATCTTACTTTTTGCTTTTTGTTTTGAATAAATTATTGGCAAATTTTTCATTTTTTTGGGGCGTGAGATTTGCAACCTTTGCATCAATGTGCTCAGTAATTAGCAAATATGCAGATTATTATGGAAATTAGATATACTGTAAAATTTGCACACTATTTATCCAATTATCAAAAAGTATTTAAGTTTTGGAAAAGTTTTCCTATAGAACAAGTTTACAGCTATAGTAAACCCATATAAAAGTAAGAACAAAATCAATTTCGTTTTTAAAGTCTCATCGAGACAATGTTGGAAACTATTGCATTTAGAAACTAACATTTTAAGTCTAAAGTTATGGCACAATAAATAAAAGAGTATTTTCTTAAATGTGCTAAACCTAGCGATTGTTCCTTTCGGGTCATTGGAGGCTATAAGAGACCATTGGAGGACGAAGAGGGCCAAATTTTCTTTACAGAAACATTGGATAGAAATAAAAATAATGCCGATAATTTTTTACTAAATTCCCAAAAAATCTTAAAATTATAGAAACCTGGCCCTTCCTCACCTCACATAGCCCTTTGTACCATGCTACCAAATTTCTTTAAATGTTAATATTGGTTTCCTTATCATGAAATCCATAGATTTAAATTCTTGATTTTTACCGGAGGAACTTTGTTTGGGTCTTTTAGTCCTTGAATGGTTGGGCGTGGGGGTGGGGGTTAGGCAGGAGAGGAAGGTAGGAATAATTAATAATAATATCTTTGAAACCTAGACCATGTAATTTAGACGGACAGTCTAACTAATCTTTTTATCTTTAAATTAAGGCGGCACAAGATAAAAAGAAATAATATAATAAACCAATCTGTAGGAACTAGGCTACAGAATTAAATAAACCAATCTGTAGGAACTAGGATACAGAATTAAATTAACAAATCTGTAGGAACTAGGATACAGAATTAAATTAACCCTTTTTTGTCTAAATAAAGCGAATGGATTTTGCACATGTGAACTTTTCGAGGCCTACTAATTTATGAAACAATTACAGTATTGGAAAAAAACCATCACAGGAACAAACTATTTGTTTTTTGAAAGAGATTGAAAACTTAATTAACTATATTAGAGATATCAAAACATAAAGACTGGATGAAGATTCATTAAACAATTACTTATTTATGTTGATAAAACAAGTCCGTTTTTAATGATTTTGCGGCTCGTTGTTTTTTATTAGTAATTTATAGAGCAAGAGCCAGAGACGACTTGGAACTTTATATTTTTTATTTTCTTACTATTTTCTTATTATATTTATTCATTGATCTATTTTCTTATTATTTTCTTATTATATTTATTCATTGATCTATTTTCTTACTATTTTCTTATTATATTTATTCATTGATCTTTTTTCTTACTATTTTCTTATTATATTTATTCATTGATCTATTTTCTTACTATTTTCTTATTATATTTATTTATTGGTCTATTTTCTCACTATTTTCTTTTTATATTTATTCATAGATCTATTTTGAGAATTTTTAAGATATATTAATCAAGGTAAAGTAATGCAAGGAAAGTTATTTCAGAGGTGTACACATCTTTTGTACTGCAGTGTACTGTCTCTGGGTGGTAATGTAAACACAAGACGGATGTCAATTGCCTAACATGGGATTCATCTTTCACATAAAAATCAATAAAATATTCTGGTCTATAGGAAACGATTATATTAAATTATCAAATTTATCAAAATTTTATTCTTTTATCCTCCTCGGATACTAAACGAACACTGATGCATCTATTCTTGTTTACAAATTCCGCCCAGAGAGAACTGGTTTCAATATGTACGCAGAATAGGACCTGAAATTTGCTTTCCTTGCATTATAACCTTGTATTAATCAAGGAGAATTGAATAGAAGGAGGGGGCGATAAGGTTTCCGTACACTTTGCTGTGACGTACTGCTTCGAAGAACTAGTTTTTGCGTAAAAACAATAATAAAGATTGTAAACAATAAAACAATTGATAAACAGACATCTGGCGCATCTCTGGCGTTAGATGAAGATTCACCGTATACTAACTCATGGTTGTTTACATTAGATCGGCTGCCTTTATTATTGTTGTTACGCAAAAACTAGTTCTTCAGCAGTCCAAAAACGTCACAGCAAAGTGTACGGAAACCTTATCGCCCCCTCCTTCTATTCAATTCTCCTTGAATCAAGGTATAATAAAAGGTTATTGTGTTTGTGTACATTGTTCAGCTAAAATATAATACTCCGTACATACTGCATAGTACAGTACACAATTAGTCAGTGTACAATTGTACCCATCCCTTCAGAATTCATCGGGTACGGGTTGATAACTTTAAGTTTTTTTAGTTTAAAACTATGTTGAAAGTTAAACTGAATTTTTGTTATAAAGAAAATATACAAACATTTAGATAAAAATGTATTTCAGTATATATATGGAAGATGGCAGAGGACGACTTAAACTTCATTAAGATTCTACAGGTAAAGTAGAAATCTAGGATTTTGTTTGAGTGCAGGAATTTTTGTTATGTGAAATCCGATGGAGTGCTTAAAACTTGGATAAATCGAGGTTTAAATTCAGGCCCATAACCAGGATTTCACCAAGGGGGATGGCAAGATGGGTGTTGTATAGTTTGGGTACAGGAGCACCGAGTGAAACATAGAAAATTTTCAGAAATTTGGTGCAAAATCGAGTAGTTTTAGCTTGAATTTTATATTAGGTATGAAATTTTCTAATTGAATGTTACAGTGAGTGAAAAGTCAGTTTTAACTGAAGATGTTCAGTTTTTAGTTTAAATTTTACAATATTGGAAGACAAAAAATGTTGCTAATGTTGATATTAGTTACTACTCACGTTCACTGATTTTGGACGAAATATTGAAACTGAGGAAACAAGTTTCTGCAAAATTTAAATAATTGAATTTTATGATTCCTACTGGAACATATGTACTACATTTTATGTATGTATATCTTCATACATTTTTCGTCCGGACCACACCGGAGATAGTGCGTTGGGACTTTTAGGATATACAACTGAAATTTGACATTTTTGAGTAGGGAACTTAACAATCGATTTTAATTTGTTTGAGGGGTTGTGAAACAAGGATGTGCCTACTGTTACCTTCAAAAGATGTTCTTTTTTAAACAAAACTAAAAAGGATAAAACAGTTTAAACCATTATAAACAACATGACAAGGCTTAAAATTCTAATATAATAATCTTATAGTACTTTAAAAAGACTGTAAACAATGCCGAACGAAAAAAGGTGTGGTTGGAAGAAATAATAGCGAGTTGTGACGTAATTAGTGGTCGAACGAATTTGTGCCTTCCCTCCCTCACCATATTGTATATACAGAGCCCGTTCTCTCCATAGAAAGTGGTCGTGTAGTTCACGTACTTTGGGGACGATATGTTGACCGCTAGATGTCTCATGCTAAATTCTTCAGATAGATAGATATTTCTCCGTACATTTGACGACCAATACAGGAGACGTCAAGTTGTCGACCAATGTAGTTCATGGAAGGAACGGCCTCAGGATGATAACAAATTTAGAAAACTTTTAATACTTATATCTCAATTTTTCAGAAGAAAATTTTACCATACTACTTTTCTAAAAAAGGTGGGGTGTACATTCGTCATTGCACCCCTCTTTTAGGAGAAAGGAGGTTGCACCTATCCCCTTGAACCCCCCCCCCCCTTTGGTTACGGGCCTGTTTAGATTGTATGCTAAATATATAATTATATGTAGAGTCTAATGCCGTATCATAATTAATGTTATAATTTCAGGATAAATATGGGTAATTTCCTAAAGAACGATTTTTGGGACCCCCCCCCCCCTCCTCCCGTAGAAATAGTAAAAGACATTTTTGAAAATGAAAAACTAACTTTAACGTGAATTCTATGAGATGAAAAAAGGGGCAAAGGTCCAGAAAATAATTATGACTTGTAAAAGTTTCTGTTGTGCAAAAGAAGAAGGACTATAATTGTAATCTATATGATAAAGCTCTTCGTTTATTTATTTCTGTGATAGCTCTAAGTTCTAGGGAGGGGGGGGGGCCTGCCCCCCTTGTCACCCCCGTGTACGCCCTTGATCGAGGGCATGAAGGAGTTAACTTGAAGTCCGCACATTTAAAAAGTTTGTATCTTTGTTCTGTTGTTAAGTTTATCGGTGATCCCTATCAAAAATATTTAATGATAACTAGAAAACTCTGAATAGAATAAAAGACGTCTTTTAGACTCAAATTATGACTTTAAAAAATCCAATAAGCATGGGACACAGTAATTGTGCAGTGTAAACAGATCCTTTTCACTTAATTAGTAATTTATTAAATATCTTGTAAAATCATATACTTTGTACCAATGTTAAATACGCTTAAGTATTGCTATAAAATCCTCAATCTATTTCAGAGTTGTCTTGTTATCACTGCAAGTCCGTACATTTTATAAAAATTATAAAATAAATTGTGAATAAAAGGTTATCGGTGGTTTGAATGTTCTTCTCCTGCACGCTGGACTAGCTCTACTTGAAGCTGGTGTCTCACAACGAAAGAATGTATCCTCTGTACTCACTAGACAACTAGCTTGCTTACTGCTTTCAACTGCAGGTTCAGAATTTTTTTTACTCATAGATTTAAATTAGTGTTTTAGGGGGCTAAATCGGTGCTATGCTATCTATATTTCAATTCACCGCGCCGGTTCAAATTCTGAATCACCGATTCAAAGGTAAAGAACCATGAGGGTTTCTATTGGTTATTCGAGATTTGAACTGGCAGTAGGTAGTTTAGCGACCTTTCCAATTCATTAGATTTGGCCCCAGGGTGCTCTGTTAGAAAAATCTAAGATTTTGAAGTTTAGATTTTATATATTGAAAAATGAATTTAACCAATAAACTCATAGTAACATTATACTATGGTTTTACACTCTACAAGGTGCCTGTAAAAAACCTCAGTTGACGCCATAGCTTTTTTTAAACCGATTTTTACTTTTGGACATTCAAACATGTATTATATTAAAATTTGTGTTAAAAGATCTTTCTTTTTAATTACTAATGTATTATTTTGCTGTAAAACTTGTAATTTAAAGAAAAAGAAGTTGTTTTTGAAATTTTGATATGAATATGATATATATTGATGAATAAAAGTCCTTTTTTTCAGCATTCTGGATTTGTGGCTATGGATTTGCATTTGGAGGCGACTATCCATTTATTGGAAATGAGAATCTGTTTGTGTTGTACAATGCTGATGAGTTTCCGTATTCTCATTATTTTGTACACTCTCTAGTTGCTTCTCTCCCCTCCAGGTTATATTTTGTACACTCTCTAGTTGCTTCTCTTCCCTCCAGGTTATATTTTGTACACTCTCTAGTTGCTTCTCTTCCCTCCAGGTTATATTTAAATATCAGTTACCAATGCATATTTACTGATTTGTTCTAAGCTCATTTCTTACCGTTAACACTTAAAAAGTTTAGCCAACAACTATTATTAATTCTTTCCAGGGCATTTCCATTTCCACAAATTTTAGAAACTTCTACCGGATTAATTTACGTCAATTTTGAACCATTTCCATATTTGTGGCTTTTAGATTCTTTTTTGTGATGATTTTGAGTTGTTTTAGTATTTTGGGTGGAGCTGTAGCTGAGAGAACACATATCACAGGTATTAAAAATATAATCAAAAAAACTTATCCTTTTTAAGGGAGTGTTAATGTAACTTTAAGTGACCCCGAATTAATCGTTGCAAGCACCTGATTTTGAGTATTTCCCTCCATACCTTTATCTGAGCAACCATGAGGAAGATATAACAGTCTTTTTTTAAATCTAAAACGTGTTGAATTCTTTTAATTTTATTCCTTCTATCTGCTGCGCTGCCTAAATCCGCAAGTCAGTTTTACTGATGAACAAAAACTGAAAGTTATCAATTATTTTATAAAAAACATCTTCGTCATTTTTGCTTAGATGGAGATTTGAATGGCAGGCAATGCAATTTGAATTGAACATCACTTTAAAACTGAAGAGTCACTTGAAATTACAACTGCAGTCACTTAAACATTTTTTTTGAGTTAAAGGGAGTGACCGGCTATGTATGGTAGTTAAACTGAGTCTGCAGTGTTGTGGATAAATCTTTAGGATTCATTTGAGAAATATAAAACTTTTTAAAGATCTGTACATCCTGAGTTTGAGCGCAAAGTCGACGTTCAATATCGTACTTTTGGGTGGATACCTTTTTATAATAGTTTTTTTGAATTATTAAATAACGACGACAAAAATGTAAACAAAATTCTACAGTAAACTAATTAGTTGTTTAGAACTTTAGGAAAAGGTTGAGAAAATAAAAATTAACTCTTATAATCGAAAATGAGTAATCTTATTCAATTATTAGTTTCTACAATCTCTCTTTAATCAAAAAGATTTTTAGCAGATTTTCTGACATTTTTTTAATAAACCTGCGAACACATTCATAGAAAATAAGAAATTCAATATAATGATGAAAAAGGAAATAATTAATTCTAACTTCGATTTATTGACAAATTTCTTTTGAGAAATATATTCCTAAACATCTAATTAGTTCACTACAGAATTTTTACAAAATTTTTCGTCGTCGTTATTTAATAATTAAACAAAAATCGATTCTGAAAACGTATCCACCCAAATTCATGATTTTGAACGTCGACATTGCACTCAAACTCAGTAATTATACATCATGAAAAGTTTAATATGTCTCAAATGAATCCTAAAGAATTTGTCCACAACACTGCATACTCGGCTCAACTACCTTACATAGCCGGTCTGTCCCTTAAATATATTTGTAATAGGTCACTTGATCATGAGTTCTATCCTGACTGGTTTCATCTGCCCTGTTGTAACTCACTGGCTGTGCGCTGCTAAGGTAGGAAGAAAAAAAGAGGAGACAAAGGAATTGAGTTTTTGACACAAACTCAGATGTTCTAATTCCTATAACTTAGCAACCCGTTTTCCTAGACCTTTGATATTTCAAACTATTAATTCTGGTAGATCAACTAGTCTAAGTTTGAAATATCAAAGGTTTACACCATCAGATTGCAAAGATATAGGGGTTAGAAAATGTAAGTTTGTTGCAAAAACTCAATTCCTTTGTGGATATTTGTTATTCAAGCAGTTTTTTTATCATTCATAAGTTATTTTAAGTCTGAAAATTAACGATCTCTCAATTTTGATTTTAATTTAACCCATTTTTCTATCGACTTTTGTTTCTAATGCCAAGTTGTGTTTAGCAATTTAAAATTTGCTACCATTTGGGCCATTTGATGATATCTTGTGTTTTGATATCAGCATGATTGGGAAACATTTAATTTTGATGCAGATTGGGATCCTGGATTCGCACTAGAAAAACATGGATCCGGATCCAGGCCATGAATATTTCTTTAAGACTTACTGAATTTTTTTAAAGCAGAAATGCAAAATAATTTCTCTTTGTTTTTTCGCTTATTTTTTTGCTAAAACTTAATGAACCATTCAGAGATTAAGAAATTTGTATAATCTTCCTTTTTTCAGCAGTTTAGTATTTTTAAAAAGTTTTTGGTTTATATTATGGCCCTTGAATCCGGATCAGGGGATCCGCATATTTTTGCGTATCCGGAACCGGATCCATGGAGCCAAAATATTGATGATCCAACAGATCCGGATCCTGAGCACTGATTGATATCTTGGGTTATTATTGATACTGATTGGCTAAGGATAGAGTATTGTATTGATCTGGGGGGTACAATATCTACTCATGATGTATAGGGTTGGCTAAGGGTAGAGGATTGTATTGATCTGGGGGGTACAATATCTACTCATGATATATAGGGTTGGCTAAGGGTAGAGTATTGTATTGATCTGGGAGGTACAATATCTACTCATGTTCTTTGTGGAACTGCTTCTCTATCTGCTCTTCTTATTATTGGTAGAAGGATGGAGAAGTTTGGAGTCAACCATAGGTAAGAATTCAAGTGTTGGACTAGGTCTGGGCATGTTGATAATTTTTAATTTGTGTCAGTCCTCTGTCCATGGTTGATTTTTGTCCGTCTAGATTTGTACCTAGCGTGTTGATTTCTTTTTTTAAAAACTTTTATTGAATGTCAACAGTGATAAAAGGATTGTACATCTTTTTAATAACCACCAAGCAAAGTTGGCCATGCCCGATTTACAATGGTACCCTTTAAACCTTTATCTCATTTCTAGGTTTATACAAGTGTTTAAGTCTGATCATTCCTACATGTTTCCCTGCAGTAGAAGAATTCAAGTTTAGTAGAGAAATCACAATTAAACATAATCAGTGTTCAGGGAGTGTCACAAATGAAATTACACAACACAATTAGAAATAAAATATTGAATCCTAAAAAAATTTATCAAAACCTGTTTTTAGCGTGAAGATGGTTGGACATTCTCTGCCTATTGCTTATATAGGAGGATTCATGATGATTATAGGTATCATACTATCTTTCCCCATCCCATTGCATTAAATAGATTAAATCCTGCATGTAGTGTTGTGCATTCCGTTGGCTGGGATTTATATCGTTTCGCCTACATTTGCTTTCAGGGTAAAAATTTGACTCAGTGTTAGTAAAGCATTGTTTTCAAAACTAATTATTCTAAATATGTGCTTTCCTTACATTATGGCAAATGTGGACCCGGACAGAAAAAAAGGCAAAAACAAAAGAACTAAAAATTATTCAAAATCAAACATGTTACAGCATCTGTTTTAGATAGCGTTTGTTCAGCATAAATATGTATCAAACTTTAAAAAACAAACAATTGCTCAGGACAGTTTATAAATCTTGGAAAAAATGAACCAACAGGACTAGCAACACTCTGAATGTTTTCTGTTGATTTTGCTGCAATGTTTTAATAAATAAACTGTGTGGCAAATAATAGACTTTCAAGGTTAAGTCGTCTTATTTCAGGTATGATTGGTAAAGCTGTTGGGCTCACAGCTGACAACAAGAATGCAGATCTAGGAGCGGTAAAATGAACATTTATTTAAAGAAAAATATTAGGTTTCTCAAAAGTAGCGAAAAAGGGACTAATGTTACCCTTTAAACAGCTTTGTCTGATGATCGACAGAGGAGAATTACGGTGAACTCACTGTGAACACACCCCCACTGACTTAAAATAATTCTCGAGGATCGGATAGTTTTTATAATTCTCGAGGATCGGATAGTTTTTATAATTCTCGAGGATCGGATAGTTTTTATAATTCTCGAGGATCGGATAGTTTTTATGTGTCCAACACTGTATTTACATATTAAATGCAACTTAACATTTCAAGAGACACTTGAAAGTTCGTCATAATTATCAATTATCAACTTAATTTTTAATTCAAACTGTTTCATAAAATAACTGCTTAGGTTGTTATAAACTGTTTACTAAGTGAAGTTCAGGTTGTGATGAACTGTTTACTAGCTGTTGTTTAGGTTGCTATGAACTGTTTACTAAGTGCTGTTAAGGTTGTTATGATCTGTTTACTAAAGCTCCTGTTTAGGTTGTTATGATCCGTTTACTAGCGGCTGTTTAGGTTGTGATGAACTGTTTACTAGCTGCTGTTTATTTTGTTATGAACTGTTTAGTAGCTGCTGTTTGTTTTGTTATGAACTGTTTAATAGCTGCTGTTTAGGTTGCAATGACCTGGTTACTAGCTGCTGTTTAGGTTGCAATGAATTGTTTACTAGCTGCTGTTTAGGTTGTTATGATCTGTTTACTAGCGGCTGTTTAGGTTGTGATGAACTGTTTACTAGCTGCTGTTTAGGTTTTGATGAACTTTTTACTAGCTGCTGTTTAGGTTGTGATGAACCTCTTATTAGCTGATGTTTAGGTTATAATGAATTGTTTACTAGCTGCTGTTTAGGTTGTTATGATCTGTTTACTGGCGGCTGTTTAGGTTGTGATGAACTGTTTACTAGCTGCTGTTTAGGTTGTGATGAACTTTTTACTAGCTGCTGTTTAGGTTGTTATGAACCTCTTATTAGCTGATGTTTAGGTTATAATGAATTGTTTACTAGCTGCTGTTTAGGTTGTTATGATCTGTTTACTAGCGGCTGTTTAGGTTGTTATGAACTGTTTACTAGCTGCTGTTTAGGTTGTGATAAAATGTTTACTAGCTGCTGTTTAGGTTGTGATGAACTGTTCACTAGCTGATGTTTAGGTTTTTATGATCTGTTTACTAGCGGCTGTTTAGGTTATGATGAACTGTTTAGTAGCAGCTGTTTAGGTTGTGATGAACTGTTTACTAGCTGCTGTTCAGGTTGTACTGAACTGTTTACTAGCTGCTGTTTAGGTTGTGATAAACTGTTTATTAGCTGATGTTTAGATTGTTATGAACTATTTACTAGCTGCTGTTTATTGTGTTATGTACTGTTTAATAGCTGCTGTTTAGATTGTTATGAACTGTTTACTAGCTGTTGTTCATTTTGTTATGAACTGTTTAATAGCTGCTGTTTATTTTGTAATGAACTGTTTATTAGTTGCTGTTTAGGTTGTAATGAACTGTTTATTAGCTGCTGTTTAGGTTGTAATGAACTGTTTATTAGCTGCTGCTGGAGCTGGAAGTTTGGCAACATTTCTCTTTAAACTCAGGAAACGTCCAGCTCAGACTTTTTTTTAACCAAAAGAATGATCATTATTGTAAATACAATTTACCGGGTTGAAATTTTATACAGTGTGAGAAAATTTTAAAAAAATGTTTTGAAATTTATAACACTTCTCAAAATTAGGTGGATGGTGGAATCTTTTATAAATCCGCAAAAAAAGTCTTAAAAAACAAACGAAATGAACTGCTCGACACTGCTGAGCCAAATGAATGTTTTGTATTTAGTATTAGAAAGGATTCTGAATACAACCTCAACAGCATGGCTCATACGAAACTAAATAAGTAAGAATTGTCATTAGTACATTTTGAAATTCTTTTTATAAATTAAGCTTTTTTCCAGGATAACAAATAGAAGGTGGAGTTTCTTCTGTTCTTTGAATGGAACTATTGCAGGTCCAGGTTTTATTTTTAATATCAAATAATATGTATTTACTGTTGTCTTGATTAAAAAAATCGTAAAACAATCTTTTTTTTAAATTAAAGTAACACTCTTAAAGTTTTAGGAGTAAAGTTTGAAATATCTTGGTTATTCTGAGCCAAAAACTAACCTTAGCTTAACTCATTCCTAGAATATTAACCTTTTATCTTCCCATTAGGGAGTTCAACCTTTAATGACTAATTTGATCACAGAAGGGTCGGAAAGTTATTTTTCTCAATTTAAGATGAACTCCTGAATTTAAAAGTTTTAGTCGTAAAAATCTTTGTTTTAGGTTTAGTGGCAATACATGGAGGAGTCGGGTTATATCATGGCTGGGCAGCTTGGGTAGTTGGTTTAGTAGCTGGAGCTTTGTTTTTTATAACCAGCCAACTTCTAGCTTTATGCAGGTATAGGTTGGTCTAGTAGCTGGAGCTTTGTATTTTATAACCAGCCAACTTCTAGCTATATGCAGGTATAGGTTGGTTTAGTAGCTGGAACTTTGTACTTTATTACTAGCCAACTTCTAGCTATATGCAGGTATAGGTTGGTTTAGTAGCTGGAGCTTTGTACTTTATTACTAGCCAACTTCTAGCTATATGCAGGTATAGGTTGGTTTAGTAGCTGGAGCTTTGTATTTGATAACTAGCCAACTTCTAGCTATATGCAGGTATA